TATAAAGTAAAGCCATATTAATATGATGAGCTGTGAAAGGCTCAAGTCAACAACTTCTGTGAATAACCCACTACTATTGTGTAATGCTAGACTGTGTAGGATAATAAAAGTAAAATAAAAGAAAATAACAGTTTCGGGGCTGGTGAGATGGCTCAGTGGTCTAAAGCACCTACTTAGTACAAGCTAAACAAAAACACAGGAACCGCGGTTCAATCCCCCAGCAGCACATGCCAGCCAGCCCCGCCCCCTGGTGGGCTGAGCTGGCCACACACACCCACACACGCAATAAGTAAATAAATAAATATTAAAAAAAGAAAATAACAGTTTCATTTTATGTCTAAGGTGCTTGAAATACAGATAGAGATAGTAATGTTAAGTTTACTGCCTCCATTACAAGGTAATGTCATTAAGCTTATCTTCTGGATGCTTAATAACTGAGGTTTGCCAACCAAAAGTTAGGGAAACAGATGTGGTAGAAGATAGCCAATATTTTAGCCCTAGCCCTCCGAGATCAAGGAGCACTCAGAACATAAGAAAACTCCTGCAGTGATGACTTGTAACTCAGTTGAGTCCCTGATTTTCTGATCAAGGAGATTATGGGACCACAGAGGAAAGTAATCCACAATGTACAGTGTGCCTAAGGAGACTCACTTAAAAAAATCTCAATCTTTCACAAAAAGCAACTTGGTCAAGCAATGGCCATTAATCAGCCAGATGGCTGACACTTACAAAAGTCCTAAGAGGTGCTGAACTTGGTTCCAGGGTGAATCCTGAGGAGACTGAATTGACATTGACAGATAGCAAGAAGTTAAAATTAATTAAGACAGATCTTAACTTGGCCTTAATCATCCAGCAGAAAGTTATAATCATAACCATAAGATGTAAAAAATGCCATAATAATGTGCTCGCTGTAAAAGATTCAAATCACTAACAACTTCTGATAATTGCCATCTGTACTGGTAACTCACTACTGTTGTGGACTATTGGACTATATAAGGTTACATTTCTGTATACAGTACTAAAAATCTTTGGACTGGCATCAGGAATGAAAAGGTCTTCTAAAGAGTTATCTGAACACAGCTTCTCCAACTGCAATGGAATACCCTTCATCCACACAACAAAGCAGTCAAGGGAGGGATACTGGGAGCAGCTGAAGCTGGAAATTCATCATACAGGGAGAGCAGGACAAAGCCTCGGTGCCCAAAGCAGTCAAGCTACCAGTCGAGAAAAACATCCTGTCTGGAGAATTCTGGCTATTAGTCACTAGGTAACCTGATACAACTTTGCAAAGGTATAAATAAATGCCCTTAATGTTGAAAGAAAAAATTTTACTTGTATATATACAGTGATACCTTAGTTGTCACACAGCTCTAAGTTTGAATTTTCTACTAATCAAAGCAACAAACTTAAAAAAAAAAATCTGATTGTTCATAACTTTGCTCAATGATCAAACCGAAAATTTCACTTGAAAAACCCTGTACCAGCCAAGAATGAGTCACTGCAGACACAGAGGCATGACACATCAGTCTAAGTGCTGCTGTCGCCCAGACAACATCTAGTGGGTATGTTAGTGCATTAAAACACTTTTCACTGGGGCCGGGGAGATGGCTCAGTAGAATAAGTGCTTGCCTGACAAGCGCAAGGGCCTGAGTTCAATCCCCGGTCCCACCAAAAAAAAAAAAAAAACAAAACACTTGTCACTATGGGGGGTTTTTCTTGTGCTTTGATGTAAAATATCATAACCATGGTCCCAAAGAAAGTTAGTGATGCCAGCAGTAAAGCTAAGAGGAAAACTGTGAGAACCAGAATAAAGTTAAAGAGATCATTGTGAAATTTGTTACAGTCTGGGAAAAATTGAATTTATAAGTATAGTTTTTGAACTTTAGTACAAATTATTTGATATTCCATTATTGTGGGGAAAATATGTTCAGTTCTTGAACTTGTTGGTGTTTGAGCACAAATTTGTAAGGAATTGAGTTCAACAACTGAAGTATCAATGTATATATGAAATCAAGTAGCAACTAGATTTTGTATATATATTTGCATGTATATACAGATATATTATCTTCTCATTTCTGAAACAGATTACATTCATCTCAGCTGTCCTGAACTCCTCTGTTTCTTTACAGCAAGTCCGTTGTTTTGTATTTATGCACCACATTTTCCTCTGCCTTAATCACAAAGTATCTTCAGAAAGAAATCTGACTTAAATGTAGAGCCCACTGCCTTTGCTTCTCATCTCTCAGGAGTAACAGTTCTTTCAGATGTTTGCCAACATCTGAAAATAGTTTCAAGTATTTATTTATTTATTTATTTTTTGGTGGAACTGGGTATTGATTTTTTTTTAATTTTTGCGGTACCAGGGATTGAACTCAGGACCCTGCCCTTGCCAGGCAAGCACTTATTCTACTGAGCTATCTCCCGAGGCCCACAAATATTTAGTTTTATGGCTTCTATGATAAAGGTGAGTCTAATACCATCTGCTGTATTATGCCTTAAGCACAGATTTGTAAGGAATCTGTTCAATTCCTTACAAATTTGTGCTTGAGGCCTAAGCCTTACCTAGGTTAGATCTAGGTAAGGGCCTTTCTTTGTAGGAATAAGAAATTTGGATTTGAGTAAGCATGTGTACTTTTAGATGTCAAATTTGAGTTAGTATAGGTAATTCTACATCCAATTCCTATTGTATTCAGTACACTGACATTACTTTCTTATCCTGTGTAGGTCTTTGAGTTTACCAACTGCGGATTATAAAGCCAGGACAAATGCAGACCCTAGCATAATATTTGAAAGAGAAAATATAATTTGAAGTATACTTATTAAACAGAAAAATTGCTTTGTGAGAGTAATTATCTTGTGAGAGTAATAAAACAAATACAGAGTATAAAGTATGTATGTTACATATAAATTATGTATTTATGGGGCTAGGATTTGGTAGTTGGTACTGAGAGAAAACCTTGTTTGAATCCTTACCCTGGTACTATACCAGTATCAGCTGTCACTCAGTGGGACAGACAAAAAACAAAAAAAATTACACTTTAAAACAATGTGGGAGATGGGAATGGTGGCAGATGCCTGTATTACTAGTACTTAGGGGGCTGAGGCAGGAAGATTACCATGATTTTGAAGGCTGCCTAGACTATATAGTGAGCTCCAGCCCAGCCTCAATTACATAGAGACTGTTGAAAAAAAAAAATGTGGAATAACTTCAATTATAACAATGTAGAATTCTATATATGAAAATAAATTTTTCAGAAAAGATGTGGAGATAGATTTAGAAACACATTAAAGAAGTGAGACAAATTTTCAGCACTATTCTAGGTTCTTAAAACTTTTGAATGGAGGGGCCGGAGAGATAGCTCAGTGGAATAAGCACTTGGCCTGGCAAGCGCAAGGACCTGAGTTCAATCCCCAGTTCCGCAAAATAAAAAAAAAATTGAATGAAAAAAAAAACAAAACTGGGCATGGTGGTACCTGCCTGTAATCTCAGCTTTTTAGGAGGCTGAAACAAGGGAATTTCAAGTTTGAGGCCAGCCTCGGCAACTTACAAGACTCTGCCTGAAAAGGAGTAGGGATGTATCTCAGTGGTAGAGCACTTGCCTGGCATGTGTGAAGACTTGAGTTTGGCCCCATGTTCAAAAAGAAAAAAACAAGAAGGAAAGGCTAAAACGTGTTCAATCTGGTTTTTAGAAAACTGTTTTACACAATACATATGGCTGGTGGCAAAACAAAGGAAAGGCAGAAAAGAAAAAACTGAGTACCTTTTTTCCAACAAGGCTTCAGGCTGGAGCCATGCTTGCACTTGCCTAGAATGTGCACAGCCCAGGGCTCCATCCCCGGTGGGGGTGAGTCTGGGACTAGAGGTGTCCGGCACACCTCCTACTTAGCAGTTTTATAAATGCAGCAGCACAAAGATTCCCTTATTTTACAAATATCACAAAGCTGCAGAAAGGGAGGCAATGTAGGAGAAAAACCTTTGGAGCTGGGTCTGGCTCTTTTGCTTGTTGACTGAGCAAGACACCCTGTTCCTTCTGGTTGCCATCACTTCCTCTCGCCAAGCTGTCTGCCTGCCAGAAGTGCTTGGGTCACAGAACTGACAAGGTCAACCAGACAAACCAGAAACCTTCAGCCTCCAAAGACGTACCTTGTGTACCTGAGATTCGCAGCCTTTTCTAGAAAGCTCACTGCTGTCAGAACACTGAGTGATTTCCTATCATAAAGCATGTCTCCAGTTTGTCACAGAAGTGCTTCAGCCTGCCGCTGCTGTGAAACCCTGCAGAGTAGCAAGGTCAAGGCAAGAGTCTGTTTGAGACTGAGGAGTCTTGAACCCTCAAATTTCAGAAGCTACAGTGCCACGGATGTATGCTTTTTGTTTTCTTCTCTGATGTTGCCCATTTTCTCTCCATTTAAATGCTTTCTGCCTTGGCTCTACCTAGACCAGTGATGGTGAGCCTTTTACAGCTTTCAACAATACAGACAGCCCACTGCAGCCATAGGCTCGCCGCCACTGCCCTACACCGTGCCATCAGTGCCTCTCTTCCAGTCTTTCACCAGATGTTTTCTGCATAGAGTTGGAGCGCTAGCACTTCGCACACATGCACACGTGGCCTATGTATGTTTAAGTTCCATTGTGTACGCACCTCTTGCCCCTGTTCAACTAGCACCTTTTTGAAGAGTGATGCCTTCTTTTATTTATTTTCCTTCTTCAGTAATTAGTATAAGCATTCAGAAACATATATTCTCATAGTACTATGTAGTTCTTTTTATCATGTCCTAAACTTGTCTTTTTTAAATGTCAAAGATTTTTTCCCTCACCCCAGTAACTGTTAATTCATAAACAGATCCATTTCTATCATGTGCATGGGCTCTGTGATTCTGTAACCCTCTACTGTATACCTTCTTTTAGCTAGCTTTAGTTGGGACAAAGGTTAGACAACTCATGGTGAATTGTGTCTGTGTCCTTCAAAATGTGATTGTGCTAGTTAACTCTTTTCCCACAGAGAGATGTTCTTTACCACCATGGAAAGCCACCTGCTGCGCTGCAAAGTGTTAGAAATCATATTCCTCCACAGCTGTGAAACACCCACCCGCCTGCCCCTGTCTCTGGCCCAGGCTCTCTATTTCCTGAATAATTCCACATCACTGCTAAAGTGCCAGGTACAGTGTTTCCTGTTCAATTCTTTTTATTTTTTGAGGTACCGGGAATCAAAATCGGGACCCTCGGGGGCCTGCCCATTAGCTCAGCTCTTTAAGTGATTGCTTAAACAAAGCAGTCAGGCTCAGGATGCTGTGGTTCTATCCCCAGATCCTCAAGCCTTGCCAGATCTTCCCTGAAGGCATCCTGAGCCAGCCAAAAAGAAAAAAGGAAAAAAAAAAAAAAAAAATCAGGACCTCACCCTTGCCAGGCAAGCACTGCACCACTGAGCTAAATCCCCTGCCCCATTTCTTGTTCAGTTCTAAGCCTAAGAACACTTCCCCCCCAGTCCTGCCCATGAGAATTTTAGCTTAAAACACAACTGTTTGAGCATTAGGTAAAAAATGACTTAAAAACTATATGAAAACTTTCACTGAGGAAGTTATTATCAGCTACTGTTACTGTCTTTGCAGTCTGATAAAACCCAGTGGCAGACTTGGGATGAGCTCATTGAGCATCTGCAGTTTCTGCTGTCCAGTTACCAGCATGTTTTAAGAGGTAAGATGCACTCGCTCCCAAGTCTATGATGTCAGAGGTCTCACGTGCACGTTATGAGTAATAGTCATGCAGGATTCTAATTTGTTCTCTTAAGCATTGTTACTTGGTTGCACAGCAAAAGAGAAGAAATGGCATAGCTAGAAGTACTACTATAAAAAGATAAAACATATCTGTATAATGTCTGATAATGCAGTGGTCTTCCTAGTTATCAGGTTGTAGAGATAAATACAAGTCATCATGCCCGGCATGGTGGCGGCACATGTGAGATAATGACCCAATTAGCCCTGCCATTTGGTCCTGGTCTCTCACTGAACCATCTTTGTTGAGTTGGTCATAAACATACATCAGTACAGTGCAGACAGAATACAGAGCAAGTCCATGGATTTGGACGTCTTCTACATCTTGCCCAGTGTGTGAGATACCCAAGTCTGTGGAAGGAGCTCTTCGGGGATCCTCAGATCACCACAGAAAGTGTGTGGGAGTTAGAGAAGGTAGCCCTAGGCAAATGCAGACAGAGCTAATCATGTATACCTTGTTTAAATGAGAATCATTTTTAGTAGCCAAACATTATTATTATTATTTTTTTTGTGTGTGTGTGTGTGTGTGGAACCGGGGATTGAACTCAGGCCCTTGTGCTTGCCAGGGAAGCGCATATTCCCCTGAGCCATCCCCCCGGCCCCTAGCCAAACATTATTGAGGGCCTTGAGAAAACTGAAGAACTGGTAAAATACTAATTACAAAAGGAAAAATGGTGCCTTAACACAGGAGAAAACTGACATTTTCCTTGGATGTACTGGACGGATAAGGACACAGTGTCACATAGTGTCCTTGCCAAAAATTTGTGACCTGGATCTAATAGAAGGAAGCTTCAGAAAAACCCAGACTGAGTGGCCTTTCACAAAACAGCTGACCATATTTTTTCAAAAGTACCAACATCTTAAACACTGAGATACTATTCCAGATTAAAAAGAAATTAAACCATATGAATACTAAGTACAATACACAATCCTAGGCTGGACGCTTCCTAGGCAAAAAGAAGTAGGTCTGTTACTAGAGGGCTGGTGGGGCAGTGCAGTAGTAAAGCCTTTGCAGGTAATAGGCCTGGGCTCAATGCTCAGTAGCTCTCATATGCAAAAAATGACATTACTGGGACAGCTGGCAAAATTTACATACCTTAGATAATAACATTTGATAATTATACTGGATTATGATAGTAAAATTGGGTCTTAGGAGTCTATGATGAAATTTTACAGCATCTCTAAGTTATTCTCAAATACTAAGAAAAATGTATACAAGTAAACATACTTGCCCATGGTACACAGTTGATTTTAACTCAGGAATGCCATATGGAGGTAAAAGAACACTTAGATCTTTTGAGGCTTGAAACTAAGAAAGAAAGTTATTGTGAAAAAAAAAAAGAAAGAAAGAAAGCTATTGTGGAGATAGAAGCTTTTGAAAGCACTGGATTGGCCATCCATGGTTGTTCACACCCATAATTGGGAGGCTGAGGCAGGAGGATCACTGAGTTTGAGGCCAGCCTGGATTACTAAGTGAGCTCAAGGCCAGACTGAACTGTCTCAAAAAAGACACTCTCCAAAAACTAAGTGCTGGATCAGACAGAAAGTCTGGTTTAAATCCCAGCTCCACCCCTTCCTCTAGGTGGGGGCACCTGAGAGAATTTAGAGTAAGTTGGCACATCACATTTCTACTTAAATGATTTCGCTTGTTTCTTTTCTTTTTCTCTCTTTTTTTTTGGTGATACCGGGGATTGAACACACAACTTTGCACTTGCCAGGCAAGCGCCTATTCTACTAAGCTAACTCCCCAGCTCCTCAGCTTGTTTCTTAAGATTATTTTCCTACAAGCCATTCACTGTTCATCATGCCCAAGAAAATGATTTCTGATAGAATATTATCTAATAATGTTCTCCTAGTAATATCCTATACAGGTCATTGATTTTGTTTTGAGCCAGGTTCTAGCCAAGTATCAACCACTGTACTTAGTCATCCTGGCTTTTCGTTGTTTTGTTTATGTATTTTGGTACAGGGTCTCACTATACAGCTCAGACTCGTAGTGATCCTCCTATTTTTAGCCTCCCTGGCGTTGGGGTTACAGGCGTGTGCCACTGTATTTGTTTGCTTTTTGAGACAGGCTAGCCCAAGCCCATCATGGCCTTAAATTTGCAACAATCTTCTCAGCTCAGCCCGGGAGTGCTGAGGTTACAGGCATGTACCACCAGTGCCTGGCATTTTACTTGTTCTTCGTAACAGACATTTTTTAAGAGTCCCAGCCAGCAATTTTGTACAATGTCCCACAATTGGAATTGGGTAATTTTTTCCTCATGATCAAAATCATGTCAAAATTTGACAAAATTACCAAATAGATGACAGTGTACCCTCCCTGTAACTCCAACACTGTAGAAGGTTGGGGCAGACTGCAAGTTTAAACAGACTTAGTGAAATCCACTACAAAAAAGAAAAGAAATCCATCATCATTTGGGGGGAGGTTGGGTGTGTAAGACTTCTCCATTGTCTTCCTTCCATGGGTGAAATTTTGAGATTGTGACTATCCCATTCAGCCTTTCACTCAGGGGCTTTAGCATATGTTTGCATTTTTATTTGAATCAAATAGTATGTTGAGGGCTGGGCAGATGGCTCAGTAGAGTAAGTGCCTACCTGGCAAGTGCAAGGTCCTGAGTTCAATCCCCAGTTCTGCAAAAATAAATAAATAAATAGATAGATAGATAGATAGATAGATAGTATGTTGAAAAATGGCAGTGTTCTAGTTATACATTTATTCTGCAGTTAATTGGTCTTGTGAAAAAAGGACTCCTACATAGCTGTAAAATTTTTAAAGTATATATATTCAGGACTTTAAAATGCTAGTGTGTTACAAATATTTCACTTTTGTCATTTTTTCTGATCAGTGTCCAACAGGAGGCTTGGCTCCTGTCTATTCTTTTTAACATATCCTCATCAATTTTGGGACTTCGGCTTTTGTTTTTGTAGTATTGGGGACTGAACCCAGGGCCTTTGTACTGAGCTACTTCCCAGCTCTTTTCACTTTCTGAGAGGGTCTCAAAAAAGTCGCCTAGGCTAGATTTGAACTTCCAGGCTTCCTACCTTAACCTCCTAGAGTGCTGGGATCAGTTTTTGGTTTTTTTTTTTATTTTTGTTTTTTTGGCAAAACTGGGGATTGAACTCCGGCCCTTAAGCTTGCAAAGGAAGTGCTTATTCCACTGAGCCATATCCCTGGCCCGTTTTGTTTTTTTTAAAGGAAAAGTTCATTTGGCTCAGTGTGTAGAGGTTGCAGTTTACAACTGGCTGGCTTCAAGGCAGTGGTTTCATAGAAGGAAGCAATTCACGGTGGCCAGAAACAAAAAAAGAGAGTCTGGGATCAGCTTTAAATGCTCCCTTTCTCACAAAAGATGTTGTGGGTTCATCCTGTGATTACCTTGCCAGGTCCTATAGCCTTTTCTCTCAAAAAGAAATCTGATTTATTTTAGTGGAGAATTGAGGAGTGTGTTTAAAAACCATGATCCGAGTTGTACCTGGGAGTGTACTGACTGCTACTGGAATGTCTTGGCTTCTAGATCCTGACAACAGAGCTACTAATTATACCATTTTACGTTTTTATATGTGTTCGTATTGACACCTCAATCTCTGCACAGTGACACAGATTCTCTTCCTATTCTCTATCTGCCTCCCTTCTCTCTTGAGAACACTTGTTTCCGACATGAGCTGTACATATTTGATCTATCATTTATATATACAACAGTTTCAGAGCCAAGAGTGGCGGGACACACCTGTAACCCCAGCTCTCTGTAATCCCAGCCAGGAGGCTGAGGCAGGAGGATCACAAATTGAAACCAGGCTTGGGCAATTTAGGTGACTTAGTGAGACCCTGTCTCAAAGAATAAAAAGGGCTGAGGGTGTAGCTTGTTACAGAGGCCCTAACATCAATCCCTAGAACCAGGGGCTGAGGTAGGAGGAAGCAAGTTTAAAATACAATAAAAATACCACCACAAACTTAGTTCAATATTTCTTTCCATTTTTTTTTCTTAAACATTTATTTAGTGTGTGTGTGTGGCCAGCTCAGCCCACCAGGGGGCGGGGCTGGCTGGCATGTGGTGCTGGGGGATTGAACCGCGGTTCCCTTGTTCTGCTAAGCTTGTTCTAAGTAGATGCTTTAGACCACTGAGCCATCTCACCAGGCCCTCCATTTCTTTTCATTTGTAGTAATTTACCTACCTCCACTCAGCTGAATTTTTTCAAGTAGCTTTTCTTTCTTTTTTTTTTCTTTTGGTTGCCAGGGATCAAACTCAGGACCATGTACTTGCCAGGCAGGCACTTACTCCACTGAGCTATCCACTGACCTTCAAGTAGCATATTAATTTGAAAATTTCATT